AGATAGTTGAAATTAATAATAGATAAATAGTTGGAAACCCTGTTATTTTCAGTCCAAGAACTTCCCCAGGCCTCTATGAGGTTTTCCCCATTTGAATTACTATACAGAAGGTAGCCCCAGGCAATGTTTAATGATTAAATAAAAACTGGGAGGACTGAGACCCAACACCCACAAAAAATTTTATTCAATATATCCTGGACCTGCAAGCAAAACTCCATACCACCCCTCCATCCCACTTATCATGGGAGAATTTGCTTCAGGCTCAAGAAAGGCAGCAATGGCTCTATAATAGGTGCTCCCGACTGAGAGAATTTGCAGTGGGAGAAAAAGTCCTTGTATTGCTTCCCACCTCTATCTTGAAATTACTTGCCAATTTGAAAGGACCTTTTTAGGTCACATGGCAAGTGGAATAAGTTGACTATGAGGTTTTGCACACAGACAGGGGACATGCATGGCAGATATACCACCTTAACCTCCTCAAACAATGGAGGGAAGTGGTTCCTGTTGATCGGGCAATGGCAATGGCAGAGATGAGTTGGGGCCGTAGTGTCCAAAAACAGCCAAATCCACTCCATTCCCAGTTGGAGACCATCTCTCACCATCCCAAGTGGCAGAGGTTGCCAGTTTGCAATCTGTATTTTCAGACGTGTTTTCTTCTCTGCCTGGACACACAAACCTCATAGAACACTACATAGAGACTCCTCCCATTGGGGCTGTTCTGCCCCAGATGGTGGAGGGGAAGGACCACCCTGTGCTGTACATCAGCAGCAAACTCACAGTGCAGGAGTACAGCACTGTAGAGAATGATTGTCTGGCCATCAAATGGGCAGTCCTCACTCTCCGATACTACTTGTTGGGATGTCCATTTACCCTCTGTTCGAGCACATGCCCTGCAGTGTCTCCACTGCAAGAAGGATGCCAACTCATGGGTAATTCATTGGTATCAAGTGTTATAGCCATTCAAGTCCACAGACAGGGGCTCAAATGGTAGTGGCACACCTGTTACTTATTTGTGGATATTTATTATCAAGCTGTTTTCTCTCTCTCTCTCTCTTAGTGAGCAGGCCGAGGTATTCTCATTTTGGTTTTTGTTTCCTTTTGAATATTATGCAGTGGCACATAAAAATAAAAGCTCACCAGCAATCTCGCCCTGAGTCTGTTGTGTTCCTGAGTTCTGTTGTCTCTGCCAAACCTGGATTCAACCACAGGGTTAGCACAGAGTCATTAATTAATCAACATCCAAACTCGTAAGCTAGTAGATAGTTCATTGATCAGTACAGAACCAGACAGGGTTAAATTGAAATTGTAATATGTGGCAGGAAAAACAGAAACAACATAACAAGGCTTAGAACGCACACTGATACAGAGGCAAGACTTTGCATTGTGTGTGTATGTGTTTGATGTTTTTAAAGTCCATAAACCGTAAATTAAAACAAACAGGAACAGGAATAAACAGAGCTCGAACTCAAGCAAGGTTACCCTCTGTTGACAGGGAGGGGTATTGTCCTCTGCAGTTGGACAGGTTAGGTGAAAAGACTTCTGTAGTCTGGCATGGATAGTTATAATGCCCAACTGGCTTCCTCAGAATATCAAACATGCTCTCAGTTTAGGGGAAGACAGAGTAAATAATCCACCTTATTTACATTCATTACACTCTGTACTGTCTGTAACATGACTGCTGATGATGGATGTGTTATGGACGAGTCAGTGAAGCAGGCTAAAAATATTAACGTCCTCACTGAGCTTGATGGGGAACTGCATAATGAATCTTGTTGTACTTGTACAATGACAATAAAGGTATTCTTAATGTTTGCATGTTCTGTGAATTCTGGCTCTGACGGTTCTACATCACTACCTCATTATAGTATTATTATTATTATTATTATTATTATTATTATTTTTGTTTGTACCTGCTTGCAAATAACAAACAAGTGTAGCTGGTTCTATTTCCCAAACATACTAGTAGTGTAACTTGAACCACCACAACCCTAGTAACCCAGTTACTAAAGACTGCTACACGTTCATGTTAATACTTGTCCCACAAGCTATGAATTTTTCTGGCAAGCTTTCTAAAAAAACATAGTGTGCCTGCTTTTTATCTGTATTAGTATCTGTATAGAACACATTATCTGTTTATTCTGATTAATGCATTCGCAATTGTGCCAAGAATAAATAATAAGCCAACCACTAGGATTACCATTACCCAAGGTCTGTGTCAGCTCTCCTAGTGCAGAATCTACAATAACAAAATGAGCACGAAAGAAACAAGAGATTAGAGTGCTATTTAGCATGTTTAAATCCACTTCTTCATCCTTCATCGTCATGCATGTGACATATGAGGGCCCTTTTATAGGTTAGCCATTCTGGGGTCTTCATTTCCATTTTCTTTAGTACACGAAGGAAAAGCCATATAAAACAGCTGGGTGAAAACTCCACTTCAGTTTCCCTTTTCTCATTTCTTTCTCTCACAATATTTTCTGTCTTGCTGTTATTCCTAGCAAGTCTTTTCACTTCCTCTAATCTTTTATTCTCCCATCTTTCCTTATGTGCATTCCCTGTCTCTTCATCCTCTCTCATCCTCTCTCTCTTTCTCTCCTCCTCCCATGCTTATGCAGATTTACTTCCATCACATTATCTGATTGTTCAGAATGACCCCAAAAAATCTGTCCGGTTGAGCTAGTACTAATTTCCTGTTTTCTTGCCTTTCAGGTCTGGTCAGATAAGAAATAATAATGGGGTTCCTGAATGGTGCAAGAAAAAAGCATTCACCCTATTGTCTGGAGATTACAAGTTCAAATTCTGATGATACCACACCCATCTGTGCCTGGGAGTCCTAGAGAGCAAAATCAGCCTTGTGGGAAGTGAAGGTGCTGACTTTCCGGATTCCTTTAGTGCACATAACATGATTTTAGACCTGTTTCCAACTAATTTTGGGGCTACTCCCCTGAATTCGGCAGCTACTCACTGTGTGCTCCTGTGGCGACCAACAGTCTCAGTCTTCTAGCAATTGCGAAGGCTCCTATATTTTCAAACAAGTTTGAAAAACAGCCAGTGAGAGCCTGAAAGGAAATCAAATTCATCTGTTTTCATACGCAGCAGAGCCCTGAACCCATTTAATCATCCATCTATGTGGGAGGGTGAGGGTAAAACATAAGCACAAGAATGTTCGTATAAGAAATTATTTGGCACATCATACACAAATGGTTGTTAGGAACCAAAAAAATAAACATGACTTCTTGCTATCATTGCTGAACAGACGATCCCCAATGCCCGAATCTCCCCAACCAATATTTTCTCCACATTTTCTCTTCTTGCTTTCTTTTTTCTTTTTTCTGTACAAAATAGTGACAAAGTCACATGATAGACAGCTCGCATTTATTCTCATGAGAAATCATATAGTGTGAAAGGGTCAGCATTCCTGAGATTTTGAAAGTTGTGTAGTGTGCACTCAGACTTTAACTGCAACTACAGTTAAAATATCTCACATGTATGCTGCTTAAAATTCCAGCAACCCCAATGTATCTACAGTATATTAACAAGGACAAGGACCGAGACCTAGTTTAGTTATTATTAGTAATACCTTTCTGATAACTTGCAGTCTAGCTCCATAAATGTTAGACCACAATTTAGCAGATATTTGGTTGCAGACCTTTTGGTTTCATTCCATTTTTATACCTCAAGAATCTTGTAGTTAACTATGTTAACACTACATTAACATTTTAAATATTTTGAGCCAACATGTTGTATTTCTTCGCTCATTGGAAACACAACTGACTCTTTGTTACTGGCTGCTAATGAGCTGCTTTTGAATCTCTTTACTGCTAATCTACTAGATTATGTCGATATTGCACTTAAAAGTTAGCAACAAACAAGAACAAAGTTGAATTTGACATCCAAAAGAAGGAACGTGGAATGAGTTGTACATGCAAATGCTAGCTTTAGTGTGTGTGAAGTGTCTTTCTACCACACTGCAACAGATCAGGAGTTATTTGTAATTAATCACACACTGGCCCTCTCTCGGTCTTTCTCTCTTTCTTTGTAACCAACACCACACGTATGCATTATTGTAACTCCACAGAGAAAGACAGAGAGAGAAAGATGCTAGCACAAGATGGCAGACAATATATGATCTGAACCTTGGTGTCTGTAACTTAATTAATATATGATCTTTACAAATTGTGGCCCAAATTGCATATTAGATAATCAAATACCACAGGAAACGACAAGTGTTATATACAATTTCTTGTGAATGTAGGAACAGCACTCAAAGGATTTCCGGTTTTGGGATCGCACTTCCTGAGTTCCACAGGAAAGGACTGAGTGTTAAAAGCATGGTGTGAACTCCCCTTTGCATGCCATTTCTCTCCAGCCTGTTCACAGGGTGATTCAAAAGCTCACCACAATTTTATAAAAAAAAAAAATACTGACCATAAAAGTGGTTTAAAAGAAATTATGGAGAGGCGGCCCAAATCGCCAAGCCACTCACATCTGCTGTACGGCACAAGATCCATGTGGAGCCATGTGTTTTTAAAAAGGTGAGTGAATTTTAGAAATTATGCTTCATGTATTTCCATCCTTTCCTAGAATAATAAATCATCTAAAATAATTATTAATATTTATTTCTGTTATTTTTCATTGTTTACAAGACCTGCATATTATGAGTGAATGAAGTGTAAAGTTTTAAGTGTTACGGAGATTTTGTAGCAAGAAGGGAACATTTTTGCGTTGTTTCTAATAGCAGTGACTGTGGAAGCATTTGCCTTTAAAGGCCTTTATATATTAAATAACAGGAGCATTTAAATGGCGCACACATAAGCCAATACAGGGACCCTTTCACATAAAGTGCAGTATGACAACAAATGCAAGACAGAGTGCAAGAGTAACAATTTCAGTACATTTACATAAATATGCAGGAAACACTAACTATATAGTTACCAAATATAATTTAATAAATTATTCAGAATGATATTTTTTAGTCATTCTGCAAATGCTAATTGAAGGGAAGTGGTGGTTCAGTGGTTAAACTGTTGGGCTACTAACTAGATGGTTGTGAGTTCAAATCCCGGCACTACCGCAGTATTGGCAGCTGCTACTGCTGGGCCCTTGAGCAAGGCCCTTAACTCTCAAGTGATCAGTTGTATAATTGAGATAAATGTAATTCCTTCTGGATAAGGGAGTCTGCTGAATGCAGTTTGTGACTTACAATCCCAGTCCTGTACACATGATTCAACTCCTCAGGGAATTATCCAGTCCCCTCATCAGATCTCAACCAAATTGAACACCTATGGAAGAACTTGGATCAATGCTTTAGACAGCACTCTCCATTGCCATCATCAAAACACCGAGTGAGAGAATACCTTTTGGAAGAATAGTTTTCATCCCTCTAATATATTTTCAGAGAGTTGTAGAATCTTTACAAAGGCGTACTGACGCTTTTGTTGTTGTTTAGCCATACTAACAATTACGTTTTTTTTTCACCCATGTATAACTACGGGGGGGATTATACTTCAAACTTTCAGCAGGACAGGCAGAATTGGGCAGAATTTCTTTGGGAGTGGGTGGGAGAAGAAAACAGTTCTGCACACACCTGTAGCCTGAGATGGTTCGTAGTCAATTGGACAAGTTTTAAAATGTGATTAAGCAGTTAAGAAATCCAGATATGTCTATTTGTGTTGTTGTTCCTCTTTCGGCTGCTCCCATTAGGGGTCGCCACAGCAGATCATTGGTCCACATATTTGATTGGGCACAGGTTTTATGCCGGATGCCCTTCCTGATGCAACCCTCCCCAGTTTTTATCTAGGCTTGGGACTGGCACTGAGAGCGCATTGTTGCATGGAACCCCAGTGACTGTTGTTGGTTCTCTGGCTGGGAATCGAGCCCGGGCCACAGCGGTGAGAGCGCTGTGGCCTAACCACTAGTTCTCCAGGGACCCAGATATATCTATTTGTGTAAATCTCAAAAATAGACTGGATTAGATTAGATTTAACTGCCTTTCTTTACGGGGAAACAACATCCCACCACATGCCCCTTAATCAAGCTCTGTGGACGCAGCGTGTTTCCCATATTCCCAGTGATCAACAGCCTGTAATTTCTGGCGTGGCCACTGGAGTGGATAATGATATTTCATGGGTGGCCACAAACACACCAGGCAAGGACCCCTCAGTGCAGCACAAAAAGTCCAGGGGGTGTAGTCAGACCTGATCCAGCCTACCTTGGCAGAGTCGAACAAAAAGCTTGGTGTGTTTCATGCTGGATAAGAGTTTTGTTAAGTGTGTTGTTCTGTGTTGTAGACTGTTGTATCAGGTAAAGCTCTGGACTTTTGATTCTGGACTATCTCACTGCAGACCACCCTTTAGCTCGTGCCTTGGTGTAATGTGTTTCCTTAGGATTACTTTTAATTACTCTTTAATAACTCATAGTCTGTGTAGACTGTGTATTACTGTTCTGTAATGAGTATCTTAAAATGGAAGTGCCTGTTAGGTAGGCCTCTTCAGTGATGACTACTTAGTGGTGTGAAATAACTTTTATCACTTCAGTTTGGAACGAGTCCTACAAACGGCTGCCGCTTGGACTGCACAGTGTGTGTGTGTGTGTGTGTGTGTGCGCGCGCGCGCTTAGGAACAGACGGAAAGGCTTTTTTTCTTATACCCCCCCTGCGCGTTTTCTGACAATCTTTTGGCACGGCAGATGCGTGGTTGTTCCAAAACACACACGCACGCACACGCACAGCTCTCAAAAAAGGAGCAGTAGGATGCGCACCGTGTACCGCGCCGGTACCACATACGTGCACTTTTAGACGTGTTTTGTCCAAAAGTAAAGAATTTAAACACGCTTTCGGCTGTGTGTTTGTGGGAATTTCGGATTTGGGACGCACTTGTCCGGGATACAGTCCGTGAGACAGGAGACCGGCGGAACGCTCGTAAGTTTGGAACTGGGCTGGGCAACACACACACACACACACACACACACACAGCGCGCGCACACATCCACTTGCAGCAGAGACGTTGACTGCTGTCTTACTGTATAGGCTTTGTGGTGTGTTGTGTTAATGAGGTCCAGGTGTACATCTGTGAGGAGGTGCAGTGCAAAGCATGACTGCAAAATGCGCTCACAGTGCGTCTATTAACTTTTTCAAAATGAACTTTCAAGGTTGTACCTCATTACACAAGCTGACCTTAGTATCGCCTTCTAAATGAGTTCTGCATGAAGGACAAATTGCAGTTTAAAAGTGGAAACTCGTATCAGAACAAGTAGGCTAAAGTGTGGGGAGTTCATTAATATGGCTATTATTAATGCCTTTAATGTTCAGGTGGTTTATGCGTGATGAAAAGAAAATGCAGTGTATAATTACAGTGTATTCCCCTAGAAGCTTTGCAATGGCAAAACAGTCCTGTTTGAATTGGAGAATTTGATGTAGGGTGGATTCAAGTATATTGGGACATCAGGTAAACTGGGACAGGATAACATAGCAGGATTTGTTTTCTGGCCTGATTAGTAATCAAATGATATATGATAAAAATATATTCCATTCACATGTAGATAATCAGCACCTTGAGGATTTCAGAAATGTAACGTGTTATATTTTTAAATTTTTATATATTATATTTATTACAAAATATATCTAACATATTTTGTTTTATTAATGGCTAGAAAGGTGGAAATTCAAAAACTGTCCCAATATATCCGAATTTGCCCTGTGTGATTTTATTAAGCTTGGTGCTATGATCGGGGTTTATATATATATATATATATATATATATATATATATATATATATATATATACATACATACATACATACATGTTGAAATAAAGCCATTTAGGAATTACAGCCATTTTAAGCATAGTACCGGTCCATTCCCTCGTTACTTCAAGACAAATGAAGCAGGTAAAAGGTCTGGAGTTGATATTAGGTATTGAGCTGGCATGTGGCAGCTGTTCGACTAGAGCTACCAATATGAAGTCCAAGGAGATCTCAATGCAAGTGAAGGAGGCCATCATTAGGCTGAAAAAACAACATAAATCTATAAGAGAGACAGCAAAAACCTTAGGTGTGGCCAAATCAACAGTTCGGTACATTCTTAAAAAGAAAGAAAGCACTGGTTAGCCCAACAACATCGAAAGGCCTGGAAGACCACGGAAGACAACTAAAGTGGATGATCACAGAATCCTTTCCTTGGTGAAGAAAAACCCCTTCACAACATCAACAGAAGTCAAGAATGCTCTGGAGAAGGTAGACGTATCATTGTCAAAATCTACAATCAAGAGACACCTTCATGAATGTAAATACAGAGGGTTTACAACAAGGTGCAAACCACTGGTAACATTCAAGAACAGGAAAGCCAGATTAGACTTTGCCAGAAAACATCTAAAAAAGCCTCCCATGTTCTGGAATAAGATTCTTTGGACCGATGAATCCAAGATTAACTTGTACCAGAATGATGGGAAGAGAAAAGTATGGTGAAAGAAAGGAACAGCTCATGATCCAAAGTATACCACATCATGTGTCAAACATGGTGGAGGCAATGTTATAGCATGGGCATGTACGGCTGCCAATGGAACAGACTCACTGGTGTTTATTGATGATGTGACTGCTGAGAGAAGTAGCAAGATGAATTCTGAGGTGTATAGGGCTATACTCTCTGCTCACATTCAGCCAAATGGTACAAAACTGATAGGACGCCGCTTCACAGTGCAGGTGGATAATGACCCTAAACATACTGCAAAAGCAACTCAAGACTTTTTGAAGGCAAAGAAATGGAATATTCTTCAATGGCCAAGTCAGTCGCCTGATCTCAACCCAATAGAGCTGCTTTTCACTTACTGAAGACAAGACTGAAGGCAAAAAGACCCACAAACAAACAGCAACTGAAGGTGGCTGCAGTGAAGGCCTGGCAAAGCATCACCAAGGAGGAAACTCAGAATTTGAGTTTTGAGAACATGGGCTCCAGACTTCAGGCAGTCAAAGGATTTTCATCCAAGTATTAAAATTATGGTTATATTTACAATTATGTCACTTTGTCCAAATACCTTTGAGCCCCTGAAAATGGAGGTACTGTGTTGAAAATGGCTGTAATTCCTAAATGGTAAATGCCATATTTTTGTGGAACCTCTTAAAATAAAGCTGAAAGTCTACACTTCGATCACATCTTGATTGTTTTATTTCACATCCATTGTGGTGCTGTATAAAGGCGAAATAACAAAAACTCTGTCATTGTCCAAATACTTCTGGACCTAACTGTATATATATATATATATATATATATATATATATATATATATATATATATATATGTGTGTGTGTGTGTGTGTGTGTGTGTGTGTGTGTGTGTGTGTGTGTGTGTGTGTGTGTGTCCAATTTTGCTGGAAAACACTCACCCCCCTTGAACTTTTCCACAAAAAAAATCCCATAATGTTGAAGTACCGTTTCTGGCCTTGGCATAAAGCACTACATTTGGCAGAAACCTAATCCATCACTCTAAGCACACCATCCCTAGAGTGAAGCATGATGGTGGTAGCATCATATTGTGAGGATACTTTTCATTAGCTAATAATGGGAAAATGGTTAGGTTTGAGAGCAATATGAAGCCAAATACCCCTGTTTAGAAGAATACCTGTTTCAGTGTACACGTGACTTGAGAGGAGACAGGAACAGAGACTTATATAACATTAACGAAGATAGAAATGAAATAAATTGAAATGAAATAAATTTTGGGCCTTCTGGCATTATATCACAGATTCCACAGGCTTATTTTAGAGTAACCCAAGCTCTGTATTGAACAGGGGACCATTATAATCTCGATTATTTCTATATTATAACATTAATAACTAGAATATAAATAACATGCTTAGAGAGCTCTGAATCAGCTCTGAGAGAGATGATTCCTGGGACTCACACGCAACAGATTCATTCACATATGATGCAGGCGTAATTGTGAGTAAAAAGTATTATGTCTTTGGTAGGAACACCTTATGAATTTTAGCCAGACGTGTCCGATGAAGCCTAATCTCTTGCTCTGTGGTGGTGTGTGTTAGAAAGGGCGTCTGTGTCCTTTATCTTCTGATTGTCTAAAGT